AAAAAAAAAAAAAAGAATTCACATGCTTCAGCACCCAAAAAGCAAATAACCCTATTAAAAAATGGGCAGAGGATATGAACAGACACTTCTCCAAAGAAGAAATTCAGACGGTCAACAGGCACATGAAAAGATGCTCCACATCACTAATTATCAGGAAAATGCAAATTAAAGCCACAATGTGATATCACCTCAGACCAGTTAGGATGGCCAACATAGAAAAGACTAGGAACAACAAATGCTGGTGAGGATGCGGAGAAAGCGGAACCCTCCTACACTGCTGGTGGGAATGTAAACTAGTTCAACCATTGTGGAAAGCTGTATGGAAGTTCCTCAAAAAAGTAAAAATAGAAATACCATTTGACCTAGGAATTCCACTCCTAGGAATTTACCCTAAGAATGTAGGACCCCAGGTTCAAAAAGACATATGCACCCCTGATGTCTATCACAGCACTATTTACAATAGCCAAGAAGTGGAAGCAACCTGAGTGTCCATCAGTAAATGAATGGATAAAGACAATTTGGTACATATACACAATGGAATATTATTCAGCCATAAGTAGAAAACAAATCCTACTATTTGCAACAACATGGATGGAGCTAGAGGGTATTATGTTTAGTCAAATAAGCCAGGTGGAGAAAGACAAGTATCAAATGATTTCACTCATCTGTGGAGCATAAGAACAAAGCGAAAACTGAAGGAACAAAACAGCAGCAGACCCACAGAAACCAAGAATGGACTAACAGATACCAAAGGGAAAGGGACTGGAGAGAGTGGGTGGGAAGGGACGGAGAAGGGGAATAAGGGGCATTATGATTAGCATACATAATGTGAGGTGGGTGGCATGGGGAAGGCAGTATAGCAGAGAGAAGACAAGTAGTGACTCTACAGCATCTTACTATGCTGATGGACAGTGACTGTAATGGGCTATGTGGTGGGGACTTGATAATGGGGTGAATGTAGTAACCATAATGTTGCTTATGTAATTTTATATTAATGATACCAAAATAAAAAAATAAAGGAAGTAAAAATAAAAAATCTTTAGAAAGCTTTTTATAGTTATTGAGATGGTGTGATGTTGGTTTTAGAACAGACATATAGATAGATGGGACAGAATAAAGTCCAGAAATAGACCCACACGTATATGATTAACTGAATTTCAACAAAAGTGCCACAGTAATTCAATAAGGAATGTAATATTCAACAAATGGTGTTGAATGATTTCCATTAAAAACAAAACACCCTCACCTTACACAATATGCAAAAATTAACTCAAAGTACATCTAACACCTGAGAGCTATAACTATACTTCTAGAAGAAAACACAGGAGAGATCTTTGTGTCCTTGAGTTACACAAAGGTTTCTTACAATACAAAAGCATGAACTATTAAAGAAAAAATTGATAGATTATATCAAAATTTAATCTGCCCTTCAAAAGACACTGCTAAGAAAATAAAAAGACAAGCCACAGATGAGAAAAAATATTTGCAAGATACATATCCAATGAAGAACTTGTATCCAAATACACACAGAACTTTTCAATAAGACAATTGACAAAGGATTGCACAGATAAGAGATTTGAATAGACAGATGTTCCAATAGAAGAGGATATATCAGGGTGGCAAATAAGCACAGAAAAGATGTGCAACATCACTGGTCATTTAGGGAAATATACATCAAAACCACAATGGGATAATCCAACACAATTACTAGAATGCCTAAATGAAAAAGACCAAGAATACCAGGTGCTGGTCAAAATGTGGAGCAGCTGAAAATGCTGCAGATGAGAATGCAGAATGGCGCAGCTGCTGCCGAAAAGCCTGGCAGTTTCTTAAACGTATTTAAACCGCAAATCCCAGGAATCCCATTCCTGGGCATTTAGGCACAATAAACAAAAACGGTGCTCACACAAAAGACCCATAAGTGAATGTTTATAACAGCTTTATTTGTAATAGCCAAAAAATATTAACAATCCAAATAGCAATTGGTGAATGGATAAACACATGTGCTACATCCATAAAATGGAATACTACTTAGCAACAAACAAGAATCAACTACTTATAACATGTCATACAGGGAATTTCAAACACATTATGTCAAGTTTAAAAAGGCAGACACAAAAGTATATATATGTATATTGTATGATCCCATTTATATGGCATTCTGGAAAAGGCACAACTGTATGGATGGAACTCAGATGAGCGATTGTGAGGGACTGGGCTTGGGGGCCAGGGGAATGGATTGCAAAGAATAGAAGGCAGCTTCTTTTGGGGGGGATGGAAATGTCCTATTACTGACTGTGATACTGGTTACGTGACCATATGAATTTGCCAAAATTCAAACTGTACATTTAAAAAGGGTAAACATTACTGTAGGTTAATTATACCTTAATAAACCTGACTTTAAAGAAAAAGCTCTTTCAAACTAAAGAATGAACAAGGCATTCAATTTTTGCCAGATCTCAGTTCTACAGCTTAAATGCCCATGGAGGGCAGTGAGAAGACATGTAAGCAAAGTGGGATTGAGGAAGAATATGACCGAAGGCAAGGATGACAAAATCCTTATAAAGGAACTTTCCCAGATAAGGTCTACAGAAGAGAACTTAGTATTCATTTAATTTCAAGGAATTTATCTAACAGACACTTTCACACAAGCCCAGGTGGCATGATTTCGGTAACAAAAACTGGAGACAGTGAGTGTCCCCTGGAAAGGAGACAGCTAACCTAACTACATTACAGATACTCAAAGTATATAATCTATCCAGGAGTTGAAGGGCTGCGTAGCACGAGGGCTCACCACTGTAACACTGAAGCATCTTCATGATATTTTACTGAATAAAAGCATTAAGCCCCAGAATGGCACATCATAGGGAACCCCCAGCACACAACAAACCACATTCATGCGCACAGGGGCGAAGGCCTGCCACAAGTGTGCCGCTTGTTCACTGTCGACACACAGGAAGCTGGGGAGAGGAAGGTGTGCTACAGGATGCTGGCATCGGGTGAGGGAAGAGCCTTTAATTTTGTACAGATCTCTCCTTTTTGCAATAGCCACATATTCCTTTTGTAATTAATTGACTAGAGATAAAAGTTAGAGAGAAGAAGCCCCTGCAATACTGAACCACTGTGCGGGGCTTTAAGGCGATGCACACAGGGCCAGAACCACAGAGAAGCTGCTGCCACCTTCTGGAATAAACAAGAATCTACAGAGGCAGGCGGAGATAAGTAGCCGACATTCTAAGGCAAAAATGTCAAGGGTTACTGCAGTGAAAGATTAAGGCAGAAAAAAACTCTTCTGAAGCCAAGTTTCTGACTTAACTACTAATGAAAAGAAACAGGAACAAGCAAGCATGACTGAATACAGAAAACATTAACTTTTCACAATCTGAGATGCAAGCGAGATGGTAGGTAAAATTATGTTCAAATCGCTTTGATTTCTCAGAACTGTTCTGAGGAAAACTTTGTTTTTACTTTCTGTTATTTACAAATACCAATAAAACATTTATATCCAAACGTTGAAACCGAGAGAACGTATAAAGTGCTTGATTTTAACTGTAGATGCTAGAAAATGAGAGCAATTTTACATTTGTAAAACCACGCTGAAAAGAATCACAGATGGCGATGTTGCCCTTGTCCTCATTAGCATTTTTTTGAGAACTCAAACAAAGCATGTGAAATTCTTAAAATACAACTGAGATCACCGGTCATCATACAGTAAAAAGGGGAGGAAATAGTCAGCAGCGGTTTTAGCATTCATATTAAACAAAGAAGAAAAAAATTTAAAAACAAAACCCTCTAACACTGTATGTTTCTTAAAGTTTTTTCTTTTTTTAATTACCAAAATCAAAAAGCTTCATTATAAGTTAATTCGTTTTGGGTTTTTTTTCTCTTTTGGTTTGTTTTCAGTGGTAGAAAGTTGCCAACCACACCAAGACACAAACCGGAGGGAAAAAAGCCCATAAATGATTTACGTGTAAAGATAAAAGAATTTTTTAAACAATCCACCCTTGAGCAGAAGAAATTGGGGATCACTTTGAGTGTTAATGTAAAATACATTTAGTCGTTAGCAGCAGGGGTTCCAGACCTATTGGTGCCAAGAAGGTAACAAATAGTCTCTCTCGCAGGCGGGGGAAATGGGCGCTCAGCAGGAGTCGTCTTCCCTGTTGTGTTATTTATAGAGAACTCTATTTGTTAACATGTTTCTGCTATCATGGCCAGGGAGAGTTTAATGATTTAAAGGATTTCAAAGACAATTGTTTAATGATACCGTGATTTATGCGCACTCCCAAATTCCAGATATACAGCAATGTAGATTTTCAAACTGCTATAGAGTATTTCTGACATTTAACCAGAAAATCCGAGACAAGTGATAGTACTTGATAGTGTGAAATAAAAAGTTAGAACTCCTAGAAAAGGCTACGTTAAAACAGAAAGCAGTGACCATGCTCCATGCTTCACATGAGTAAACTAATTTTCTAGGACCCCTTCAAGTGAGTTCCTGGATTTACACATTTTTTATGGAGAACCGTGAATTAAACCCCAAATTACCTGTGACTGATTTGAATAATCTGGGGGATGAGTCAACTAAACTGCTGTATTTTCACCAAAAACCAATCCCTTACCTCCCGTTCCACAAAACATGTATGAATTTTGTTTAAAGGACAAAATGCTTTCACATTTTTAATTTATAATTTACATATTCATTTTTAACATTTATAATATTTTCATCATTATAAGAACTTTCTTAAATTCCATGTTTAAGGTTTGATTTTAATTTACTCAAATAAAAATTGCATTTGAGATAAAGTCATTAACTTAACCCAGAGGGAAAACAAGCCTTATAATTTCTACCTTTTCTAATTGTTGAAACTTTCCGTTTTTTTGCATTTCAAAATAAAATCTCTTGTCCCTCTTTAAGTTTCAACCTTGCACTACCTTCAATCTTCATAAAGTTACATTAATTCTATCAATTTTTTAAAACTCTTCTCTGAATCATCTCTGAAAGACTTTTTTTTTAAACGGATACTGTAAAACTTTCAGTTGTAAATATATACTAATGTGACATGAAGCTTAAGAGACCTATTGCTAGGTCTAAAAATCCTTCTTAGCAAAATACTAACGGTATCATTCACAGGGAGAAGAATATATTCAATAGAATGTTTTCTTTTTGAAGGGAGAAATTCACTTAATTCTACTTAAAAAATAGGTTCCACTAAAATGACTTTATTTGAAACTTTCAAAAATACTGAAGTTGAACAAAGGACGGGAAGGAAAGACGGCCTGTTCAGCGAGGGTGGCTGCCTTTCTTGCTGAGCGATCAGCCGGCAACTCAGTTACAGGTTGGGGTCTCTGACCGTCCAATTCTTTGTCCACTTCTTTCAAAGTCAGTCAGAGAGCTCGCTCTCTCCTGGTCGAGAGTTTCTTTTGCAGCATTTTGACTGAGGAGGGGTTTTTGTATTGCAAGCGTAGATGTACAAAAGCTCTTCCTCCTGTGCCGGCGCGGGTGGGAAGGAAGGCCCCCACGGTCGCGTTTACCCGGGACGGCGGGCGGCACACCTGGTTTCTGGGGAGACACACTTTCAAACCCTCTGCTGTCCAGCGCACACAGTGTTCTCCTTTTGGTTCTCTGGGAAGCCCAGCGAGCGGGAGGCAATGGGAGCGAGACCCACACGAGCCCTTCCTCTTCCAAGTCTTCACGCAGCCTTGTGCTACGTCTCACTTTGGTTTCACTATTTGTTCTCTGAAAGCTCTGCTCTATGCTGTCAGATAAATCTTTATACAGTTCAGAATTTTCTAAGCTAAATTTTACAGAGGTGCTCGTGCAAGAGGAAGGCTCACGACTTCCATTCTTTTCCAACTGCAAACTTTGGCCAGGACAGTAACACAAAGAGCAGCTTTTACATTTCCTTTCTCTACAACTCATGCCGCTAGTACTTTCGGCACAGTTTCTTCCCAAAGCCTCCCTTGGACTTTTACCTTCCTTTACACTGTTGATTAAGACATCTTCTGAACAGCCACGTTCTTTTCGAGTGTCAGACAGTAAATGCTGGGCCTGCAGTTTTCCCTCTGTGCCTACCAAGCAATCATCCTGCTTTTCACACTTTATATCTGTTGGAATTTTATGGATTTGAAAAAGGTTTTCTATATTTTGACCAGCAGCAGACAATTTTGGGGACTGCAGGCTAATATTAGGGTCTGGATTGTCTGAAACAAGGGGCTTTTCAGTCACAGAAGCCCAAGGAATCTTACTGTTTTCATTCTTGGTTCTGTTTTTTCGTTCATTTTCATTTTCCAACTTAATGTCTGCTTTTGGAATATTCTTATTTTCAGTAATTTCTACAGTATTTGTATTTGAATCTTGATCAAAAATAGCATTTATAAGAGATGAGGAACTTTCTGTGTGAGAGCTGTAGCATTCAGATGTATTGTGTTTATTAAAGCCTTGATTCATCTGCAAATCTGGGTTCACAGGCAAAAGATTCTCTCTTTTAGGATGCTTCACTTCTTCAAGTTCACCAGTTAGGTTGAAAATATCTATGGGCATGTAAAGAAATTTAAATCCAACTAAAAACTAACAATGGAAACAAACTAACAAATCTAACAGGTGCCATACTGTATTGTTTTAAATTCTCAAAAGTCACAAGACCTGCCAACATGACACCGCACTTGCCCTCATCTGTCAGTCCTCTTTCTCTTTAAGTTCTTCCCCAACCCACAGGCTAAGAAAATATGTATTTAATACATGACTCAAAACACATAAGCTCAGACCAGGAAAATGAGAAGTGGATCTTAAATTGCTTCTCCAGTTCTAATGTACTTCCCACACTGCAAGGTCGCTTAGTGTAAAAATGAGCAACATCATGCTTCTAAAATTTTTCTATCCATGTTTCCTCTTGGAATTCTGGGGAATCTGAGGACTTAGCTAAATGAAGGTACTTCTGAAGAGAGTCAGGTCTATGAGCTGTTAAAAATCAGTAGGACCCGTACTGTACTCTCAAAGAGCGCCCTGTTTGTTTCAATATTCTAAAACTCTCTCCTGTCCACCTCCATCTCTGACTAGAATTCATCCTCCAGGAGGACTTACCACGCAGAGGCTGTCATGTGTTTTTGGCACACTGTGTCACACAGGTTAAAAAAAAAAGGGGGGGGGAGCTTCTAAGTGAACATGACGCAGCCTGACTATATTCAGGCTTTGTGCATTCTAAAGCTCAGTAACCATTTTTATTAGATGCCATCCCTCTTGTTCCCTCAGGTAACAAGTTTTTAATTGTCCAGCCAAATGAATAAAAAGTGTTTTAAAGTCAAAACTGGAAGATACACAAAACATGAGCCAAGCCAAAAATCTAAAAAAGAGTATTTCAATTTGAAAAGGTATATATCCATGATTTGGGTACTTAAAATTATGTCATGCAAAGCCAGAGATCAACACAGGGTAGGGTCTAGTCAGTGCCAACCAACCAATACATTACTTGGGCTCTTTAGACAACTTTAAAAATTGGTATTTATGTATTTTTCATGAAATTGACATACTAGAGGAAGAAGGTAGGGGAGAGAGATGGAAGGAGGAAGAGAGAAAGACGGAGAGGGAGGGAGGGAGGGAAGGAGGCAGGGAGGGAAGGAGGCAGGGAAATGCTTTAACCCACTAGGCAGATGACATCACTGGTTATAGATAAAAAGTGCTTCAGGTATCTTAAATACAAGATGGAAAACGTATACCAACAGTCACTGTTTAAACATCATTGGGAAAACTCCTGTTAGGAACTGGAGATATAATGAAAATCAGACTTTTTTCCTGGGAAGGTAGCCAACACAGCTAAATCTTAAAGGATAAGCAGTGTTAGGCCAGATTAAAAAGACGTGGGGTGGCTGAACCCCATCCCCAGAGGTACCACACAGAGAGGCTGGGGTGGGACGGAACTGCCACTGCTGGTGCCCTGGGGCCAGAGCTGAGTGGGCGACTGTGCGGTCATGGTTGTGTTTGCTTACATTTGGGGGCTTTCCTGAAGTAAAGAAGTAGGCAGAAGCCAAGAGTCTGTAGAGATATGTACCTTATTCATCCTTGAATCTGTTATAAATCCTGCATGGCATGTGGTGATGGGGACACAGGCTATAAATATCTGATGACTGACAGGGATGGCTAGTTTAAAAATAATTGTATAAAAAATTAACACACCAAATGAGCACATACTCTTATTATTTTCAGCATGCTTTAGTCAATTTAAAACTCAGGCATTACACACCAGATGCCAACTCCAATCCAATTTTTATCTAACTAGTTTATCAACTGACTTAATCTTCATTTTTAAACAAAGCTTTCATGGTAACCAAGTTCAATCTAGGAATGTTCTTTCCAGAAGATGTTTAGCAGGGCCAACCCTACTGAAACATCACAGGGCAAGTATGTTTTTGAAATTTCTGCCCTCGATTATAAAAGATAAATCCCTTACTGAGCCATCAAACCTTGTCTACTTTGAATGATGGACTACAACACCAAACAGAATTCATTTTACTTGAGCAAAACACTTTAAAAAGCAAACAGGATAAAAGGAGATTATTTTCCCTAAAACTGTTTGCAGTATCTTGGATCTGAGCTTTGCTGGGTGGCGGATCCAGAGCTTCCCTCAGATTCTGAGGGTCTCCGGGATATAACACTGATACACCACTGCTTCCTTAACTGGAAATTCTCAGGGTACTAGGCGGAAAAGCTCCTATTTTTTAATTACATATTCTTTACACAAAATGAATGGGCGAAAGGGAAATAAAGAGTGAAATAGGAACAAAGAGGGTGAAGAGAAGGGACAGAGTGTAAAGAGAAGCAGGATGGGATACCTGAACACACCCTCCACATGCCTGGAACGGAAGGTGCCACCTCGGAGGCCTCGGGCAACTCGAGAATGGGACTCAGGAGAGGCTTCTTAGAAGCAATGTCTCTTTCCCCATATAAAGACTTCTGAACGCTTTTCTTGCTCTTTTTCTTCTTTCTGCAACTTTTGAAAGCCTGAAAAAATGTATTAAAACACTGAGAAAGGTAGCACCATGTGCAATTTTGACCCATTCATTTTTACAGAAAAGCTTAAGACCAGTTACTCCATTTGAAATTTTAGAAAGCTGAGTCGGGGTCAGGGGCTACATAGCTTATAGAGTCAAATCAGATATGAGTCAGAACTCAGTTTACAAATTGTAGGGTAGTGTCCTGTATTTCCAGAGGATTTGCCAAACTATGTTCTGGATGAGTGAAAAATACACGAGATGCTGTAGAGTTGGACAGACTTAAGATATGAGATATTTGTAACTAGGATGTATTTCAGATAACTCAGGGTTAACCTAAAATGAGTTATCTACTAGACGTTATAGGAGACTCTTTTGTTCACAGATCTGCATTATGGAATAAGAGGCATGTACATAAAATTTAAAGGTAAGACAAAGCTAGCTGAGATGTTTCAAACAAATGATTTCATCAAGATTTGAAAAGGTCAAAATCAGATGGATTTTGACAAGTATAAATAGAAGATGAGGGGCAGAGGCTGGGAAAACATGTGGGTCGCAATAAAAATTAAAACTGCCTAATAATGGAATGTGGTATTAAACCCAATTCTGACTGCCATATGAATAACAGAACTATTGTTATATGTTAAAAACAAGTTTCATATGGAAAAGACTTGAGGGAAATGCAAACATATTGAAATAAGATTGTTATGAACAAAAAAATGAAATATATTCCATGTGATAATACTGAGAGAACCAGACTTCAGATCAACATAGGTAACATGTTTTTAATAATTATGCTTCTAGAAAATGGAATCCACTCGAACATTTAGGGAGAAACTTCTGTGTGCAGGTAATAACTTGCTAGCTACGACACATTTAAAGCAAACAAGATGTGCTCTTTAGAAGCTCAGTCTGGTGGCAAGTTAATTTTAACATACATACCATGACAGACTTTAGCCATTACAGGAGTGGTGCAGCAGGGCTTCAGCAAGAGAATAACTGAAAGAGCTCGGAGGGGCATCAGGGCAGGGGCAGAGTGGTGATTGGCACTGCGGGGCCTGCATGGAA